CATATATATATATATATATATATATACATATATATAAAACCTAAAAAAAATTATTTCATTTCATATTCTTTTTTTTATCATATATCATATTCTTTAGTTACTGTTTTATGTTTTAAGAAAAATAAGATTTATCATACATTCCATTATATTGGTACTGTTTAAATCTGTTCTTTCTAAACTTTGGATTAAATATGAAAACTTGCTCAATGCTAATGTTGTTTCTTGTTCAGATATTATGAACTAACTTTATTTGAGATATTAACACTGATGATGGAATTTAAGGAAATTCTGAAACGTCTGTAGTAAAGATGTTTTTGATATTACTGTGTTTTTAATATTTATTATAAAACTTCATTTTCCACCTGATGAATCAGTTGCAAATACTCTGACACGGCAGTATAGATATGATGTGTTACATTTGTATCGTGTTCTTGAAAAGCTTAATCCCACTTGAGGAAATAATTAAAATAATTAGTAAACAGTTATTCCCTACCAGAAGTGCTCTGCACTCAAACTTTAACCAACAAAACTTTGAACAGCTTCTAAAATTGGCCTTCAAGAACAATCACTTTGTTTTTAATTGTCATCTTTATGACCAGATAGGTGGAGTGGCGATGGGATTACCTCTAGGTCCATCCCTTGCAAATATTTTTCTATGTTATTACGAACGTCAATGGCTGGATAATTGCCCCCTTTATTACAAACCAGTATTATGTAGAAGGTATGTTGATGATACTTTTCTACTCTTTCACAACACTGATCACATCAAGAAGTTTTTAACTACCTAAACTCACAACATCCATGTATAAACTTTACATGTGAGATGAAAGAAAATGATAACGTAGATTTTTAGACATTCAAATAAACAAAATAAACAATCTCTTTGCCACATCTTTTTACCGTAAGAAAACACTTACTGGCTTATACACTCATTTTGACAGTTTCATACCAGACTCTTTCAAACATAAGCTTGTTTTAAATTTTCTAAACAGAACCTGTAATATCTGTTCTGTCTTCACTCAGACATTTCAGAAATTCATGACATATTACAAAGTGATGATTAACCCCTTAATTTCTTACATTCTATAGCACGAAAATTTTTAACAAATAAAATAGCTCCTACCAAAAAGCCACATACTGTCTCAAAATATCCACTGGTTCTTATCATTCCTTACATTGGCAAACAAAGATTTAAACTCAAGTATCAAATTCATAAAATAATTGAAACACATTATCCATGAATTAAGCTAAGTTTAGTATTTATGCCAACATTTAGAACAAAAAATGTTTAAAACCAAAGACACACTACTCATTCCTATGTGCTCATGGGTTTTATATAAATACACTTATGGTAGCTATAAAGCTACCTATATTGGTAAAACTACAAATCACCTACAAATACGTGCACAAAAGAACATAGGAATTTCAGCAAGAAGCGTATGTAAGCTAAGTAATCCACCCAGGTTTACATCCGATTGCATGGTGAGAATAACAACCACCCCATACTTCTAGAAAACATTAAAATTCTCGGCTCTAGAACCACAGATTACAAACTCTTTATTAACAGAAGGCTCTTCACTTTTAATGATCACCCAACACTAAATAATAACATGAACTCCTCTCTGTTGTCATTAATGAAATCAATTTCGGATTCTCAGTGTTTTTATTTGATATATTTCAGCCTTTCTCTGTAATAGTTTCTTTTAACAGTATTAATTATTAAATGTGTATGCCTCACGTTTTATTGTACATTTCATTATATTGTTACTGTTTAAATCTGTTTTTTCTAAACTTCTAATTGAATATAAAAACTCATTCAATGCTAATGTTGTTTATTGTAGTTTGAATATTATGAACTAACTTTTTTTGAGATATTAATGCTGATGATGGAATTTAAAGAAATTCTGAAACATCCATATTAAAGATGTGTTTTGGTATTACCATATTTTTAATATTTATTATAAAACTTCAGTATATTTTGAATACCAAGTTTTAGAAATTTCATATTTTTGCATAATGCTGTCATATAATTAAAGACTTGTTATTAGATGTATTGTCTTTTGAACATCTATTTTCTATAGTATATGCCATTTTTTGAAGTATTCTTGCTGCATGGGTTAGATATACAGTACATTATATGTCCATGTTGTTTCACCTGTACCTTATATATATATATATATATATATCTTACATTATGTGTACTTGTATACTAAAATCTTTTTTTAATATATTAATTACAGGGCAGGGTGTAAAATTAATGATTTCCATATTCCTGAAATAATGTACTTATGTGCCCAATGATGTCAAAATCAAACTCATAGATATCAGTAAAAATAAAGATGTGAAGTTTTAAAGTAATATAATTATTTACCAGTCTTTAAAAAGTGTTGTATAAGACATTTTTCTGCTAATAGATTTTAAAGATAATAAATTTAGAATATTCAGTTCATTATCCCATTACTTCTCTTGCCTCTAACCATCGATGCCCCCTGAATTTGGATGGCTCTGAAACCTTTGTGTCACATTACATACACCATATTATAGTTTCATCCCCACCCCCTTTCCCATTCTTTAACCTCCCCAGATGCTCTAAAGAGAAGAGTTTTTTAACTATTTCTTTTTCTTGCAATTACCTTAAAAAAGATAAACAATCAGCTCAAAATACAAAATATATATATAAACACACACACACACACACAATGCACACTGAAGACAATAGAACTCACTGTGTGGCCACATGGAGAATACTTTTCCTCTTCAAAATCTGCATCGAATAAGGGATATCAGAAAATTTTAAGTCTATCTATGATTACCGAGTGCTTGCTATTGAGATGGAGTTCTCCACAATATTGCTTTGGCAGTTTCTAAAATTTAATTTCCAAGCCATACTGCTACTTCCACAAAAAACAGGTGTGATTCCCTGTCCTTGTACCTGGCCAGCTCTTGCTGTCCCTATTCACAGTAACTCACTGTATAGTCCATATATTTGTATTTACACTTATACATAATTTTTAATTTATTTCATCACCACATGTTTCTTTTAATAAATAGTAAACTTTTACTGTTAAAAATTGGCCATAACTCTTTCTATGCATTATAATAGATTATAAATGTCTTTAAAACTTAGGTTTTAACTTTTAATTACTTATAGGTCATAGAAAACATAGAAATAGGATTACAAATGGATAACTTAACATAACACGGTAATACAATAATTTAAGACATATAATTTCAAAAGTGAAAAAACATAATAATTCATGCAATTTCATGCTTATAAACTTCACAGTTGTTTGAAGAAAATGGATACTGAAAGACTTTGAAGATTCTGTTAAATTTTTGAATATTAGTTAAACAACACTCTCTCAAAAGTTAATTAAACTCCTGTATTGCACTATATTCAAAAGAATATCCACAGGAGGCCCATGTCAGCAGTTACATTGATCAGAGCCTGTGATCACATTGCCATGATGGAAGATTTTCAGCATGTTGCCACTATTGTATGGCCATAAAGTGTTCCATATAAAAATTTATGTGGACATACTTAGGGCTGGGAAGTATGGATGTGACTAAAATCTTGCATCCAGTTGTGTCCATTGAGTGCTTTTTTTTGGGAGTACTAAATGTTCATCTAAACAACCCTAAATATTTGACAAGTATTTTTTCTGGTTGAAAAGTCTGTTCATATCCAGTAATTATTGTTGGAGTCAACATAGCATTTTGAACTCAAAGAATAATGTATTTATAAAACAAAAAATAGTGATCTCGGCAGTTTAGGAATTTTACCGTTCTGGTTGAAATAAAAAAGACAATGTCTGAATTTGCTCTGTAATTTGTAAAAAGACTTAAAATTCAGTTAGTGTCTCTTAAAGACTGATTCATCACTAAGGTTTGG